AAAAAAAAAAAAAAAAAAAAAAAAAAAAAAAAAAAAAAAGGTTCAAATAAAAGCTGTCACTACTCGTGATCAAAATTACAATATAAAATATCTTGTGCATTACAGAATATTTTGTAATTAGATCTTTCCAAGTTTCATTCTAAGGTATAACAATAGCAATCTGTACACAATTTATATAAAACACGCAATATCCCAGAGATGTCCAGTCCCATAACAGAATATCCCAGTCTTCATCCTCCAGCCCGCTCTAGCTGCGGCCGTTTGTCTGTTATCTATTATTACTGTGTGGAGCATTAGAAGTCATCATATTATTACTATTATTGTATGTTATTACATTAACAAGATGAATTAGCCTTTCCATATACAGTAAAGAAGAAAAAAAGGCAACACAGAATGAGGCCGCATTAAAGGTTGTCACTAGATCCAAGTCCCTGAGGGGTACCACATAACAGCAGAGTGAGAGTCGGCCCTGTGGGGTTCTCTGCCACTTCTCCACTTCATTGGCTCGTGGTTCCCCCTGTTGTCCGGGAGAAATACTGCATCTGGTCCTCACCCACCACCACCTCAGTTTAGTGAAAGCAATGTAGTGGGACGGCGATGGAGGGCAAGCAAGAAGCATTGTCAGTTCCAGGCGTTCTCTGATAATCTGTACAGTACATTCGGGAAACTTAAAACTGCGATCTCTCCGCATAGGAAGCAGCTTCTGGCCACACAGGGATCTTAAGTGCTTCATTATCCGTGAAGGAGAGGGTGGTCTAAGGCCGATGAAACCTAAAGAAAACATAGGGATCTCATGAGACATGATCAGACATTCATATTCTGTTTAAAGTTACAATCCTTAAGATTTAAAAAAAATCAAACCCCATATTTGATACTAGTCATCGTCGTTATCTTTTCAGCAATAGCCATTCAATGCATTTACATTCTGTCATCATGTCTCTTTAATATAGCAGGTTTCATTGTTAGTGGCGGGGTCCGCCATTCCCATTCTGGATTCAATTTGCCCTCATAAGCTCAAGAGATTCCCACAACACACACATGGCATCCAGCTTCACTGTTTTTAATGTCACCTCGTCAGTCTCATTGTATGAAGTTACTGCTAATGCTAACCCAACATTTATGCTGAAACTGTTGAGATGAAACATGACAAAGCTTTTATTGTGAAGCAGTAACCGGAAACACAATGTATTTTTCACCGGGGTTAACGCTGTGAGCAATCCTCGGTCAACAAAACAAAGACAAAAGATATTTTCAGCATATTTTAGATGAGTTTTAAACATTTCAGCTATTAATGGAACAAGAAGAAACAGTCACAGTGAGCTGTTAGATGAAGTGTTGGAGGAAACAGACTGAAGACCTTCAACTTCTTGGCAAGGTAACAACCTTCTTATACCTTGCCCTGGTTTTGTGTGGAAAGCTATCTGCCCCGTGTGCACCGTGGAATCTCATAGGTTGCTCATGGCATGATGAGTAAAGGCCAATTATCAAATTAATTCTTTATTAAAACAACATGACTTTCTTTGCTTGTGTGTAAACAGACACCAGTTGCACTTCTGCACACAGAGTATTTGCTTTAATATTAAAAACAGGCCTCGCCAATTCAACCAGGACTGAAATCTGAAGGATTATGACGTCAAGATCCATCTGATAAAAGGTATACCTGGTGTAGATTCTGCTCTCTTCGTGGACCTCCATTTCAGTGCTCTTATAATCGTTGAGCTCCTTCCGGATGGCCGCCTAGATGAAGCAACAGGAAAGAGAGAGAGTCCCGGTGAACTCAAAAGGAAACCTGCTAAACATCACCCTAGATGCTAATAATATGTGAAACACAAGTTTGTCAAGTGCGTGCTGGACATGGCAAACTGAATGAGCACCTTGTCAGCAGGAGTCAGCTTGGTCCACGGCTTTTCTGCTCTCCGATCGTAGTTATGCGCATCGGTGACTTCCACGTACTCGTGGAACCGCAGGATTGTTCTTGCCTGTAGTTCTGCAACTGTGGGTCTTTGACTCAGCTACAATAAACAGATGTGAGTTTAATATCCAGCAAATACACGGTTCGACACTTTGATGTCTGCTGTGGATGTGTTGCCTCACCTTCCTGGTCAGCCGCCGCTTGATCTCTCTAACCTCAGCTTGTCTGTCCACCTGATTTCTGGCTGAATGAAAGAGAGGGAAGGGGGAAAAAACACTAGCAGAGCTTTATTTAGATTCTGCATGAAAGTCAGGCTTGATGTGCACCAAAGGAAGAGTAAAAGCAGTTTCCAAAATTAGATATTCAACTGTAATCCATGTTTCAAATGTCTTTTCAAGTGTAAATTATTGCTATCACAGCATGTATAAAATACTGTTCTTTTGTACACTGTGAACTGGCCGGGTTAAAATGTGTCTTTTTCTAATTCAGGGACAAAACTGGGATGTTTGTTGAAGCCCATACAAACAATTTGACCAAAGAGCAGCAGACTCAAAACTGAACTTTCTGAGTGAGGGCATTATAAGGTCCAGTAATTGATAATAACGGTGAAAAGGAAAGAAAGACTGGATACTAACGCTGAAGGATGTTTCTTTGCTCGAGCTCCTCAGCAGTGGGTCTCTGGCTAAGTCGCCTGAATTGGGAAGAAAAAAAAAAAAAGAGTCGGACTATTTTTACACAGTATCACTTTGTCATTCAGGCAGTAAGTAGGACAAAGATCTAAGAAATGATCTTCGGATTTCTTTAGTAAATACACACTCACTATTGTCAGTTTAAAGGATGCAAAAGAATCTAAATATGCACAGAAGTGCGATGATGTCTGTCTCTACCTTGTGAGTGCAGTGCCGATCTGTGTGCGGATGGCCTCCCACTGCTCCCTGCTCTGCCAGGTGAGGCCGGTCTGTCCTGGAGGCTGGTTGTCTCTGCTCCTCTCATGGATAAACCTGTCCCTGTCTGGGGCACAGGGACGGCTGCTCAGCTTCAGGGCTAAGGTGTCCTTCCTCTTCACCCTGCTGGCCAGGGCACCTGGATAGAAGCCAAGCAGAGATGTGGTCAGGTGGGAGGGAGCACACAACAAAAACAAAGGAAGTGCTTTACAAAAGTCTTGAAACATTTTTTTTTTACATATTTCCATAAAATATGGTTATGCTTACTAAGTGGCGGCTCATCCTCCTCATCGGAGTCTTCATCTTTATAAAGCACAGGACCGTCTGAGTCGCTATCCTCCCCACGCATGTGATGCTCTCCTCCTTCGTCCTCTTCCTCTTCTTCTTCCTCCTCCTCCTCCTCCTCACTGCTGTTCCCCCCCGGGATGACACAAACACCGGCGTCTCCAACCAAGCATCTGCGACTCCGTGGCTCCAGCTCTGGCTGAGGGATCTCCCCATCGTACTCCTCTTCCTCGTCCTCTTCCTCCTCTTCCTCTTCCTCCTCCGAGTAATCATCTTCAGATCTAATGGAAAGAGAAAAATAAACACACAAGCATTAAGGATACAAATAACGCATCCGTTAGCTTTTGTACTTTAAAAAGTATTGAGTGACTCACAGTTTTAATGGTTGGATGCTGACAGGAAGTGGGCGACCGCCTTGGTAGTCCGGAGGAGTTTCGAAAAGCAGTGCGTGTGCACGCTGTGACCCGTCTGGATGAGGCTGAGCCGGGCCGGGACTAGACAGGGCTCGCTGGATCATGATGTGGAGCGGGACAGGAGCTGGGCGCTGAGGAGACTCGTTGGTCGGACTCGGTGGGTCAAACAGCATTGGTATGGGTTGGGGCAGTGGGTGGGGGTAGGAGTGCTGATGGTGGAGGTGGTGGGCGTGTATGTGTTGGCGGGGAGGAGAAGGTGGTTTGTGTGTCGGCAGGGGAGGGGAGGAAGGAGGGGGAGGCAGCTGAAAGCCCACATGGAGGTTGCTGTGGTCGTCCAGAGAAAGCGTCAAGGGGTTGATGGGGTGGCTCGAGTCCTCCGTGCTGCGTTTGGTGACGGGGGTGGTCCTCTTAGGAGGCATCGGTGGAGAAGGCTTGGCTGGAACAAGACTGGCACCTCCGGTGGCTTGGGTGAAGTCACCTGCAAATGGAAAAACAGTTAATACACCCAATCATAAAGCCAAATAGATGGCTTAGGTCTCTGAGTGAGTTGCTAGCAAGTGCTTTATTTTTCTATCCAGTTTGCCGCTGGTACACGAGTGCACATGCATCAGCGCTACATGTATGATGTACCCAACATGACAGAATACACATGAACAACTACAAATACTGGGATTACATGTCTGACTGAGCACTATTGCGTGCATACAGTGTGTCGGATCACATGACTGAGTCAACATGAATGCACGCACTGCCCTAACAAACCAGTGTGCAGCATGTGCCCCAGGTCACAGAGACAAAGAAGATACATACAGCGGACATGCTCTACACAGCCAGAGTCTCAACCTGCCGTTAAACCTCGTTTATTAGCATCTTGTGCGAAAAGCTGAGATGACAAAAAAACTCCAGTTATTTGCATGCACATTTGTTTATTTGCTATAGAATTCTTTGAACGCTGTAAAACAGCCTTAAAGCCACAACAATGTTAAAAGCCATAGCCGTGCTACTGAGACATAATAAGAGATCAGTGGCGAAGTAGACTCCACTGAACTGGTTTACATCTCCCTCTCCAAGTCAAGCCCTTATGTTACAACCCTTTGGCCCCTCCATTCATCCATCCATCCATCTATCCCAGTTGAGCAGAAGCTAAGTGGATTAGCACTATAAAATTCACTTGATGCATTGCAGGCCACAGCTGGAACCTGCAAAAGGCTCCCCTTCATTTATATGCCAATTAAGAGAGTATGACATGGAAACATTCAACTGCTCACCGACACAGACGTTTCTTCTCATGTACACAAAGCGCCCAGCACACTCATTATCAGCTCATTATGTGCATGCGGCTCTTACATATACCCCATCCAAAGAAAAGCAATCAAGGCCAGTCATCAACATGTTAAAAGGCGTTGGGGAGGGAAATATGTTGGCAGCGAGAAAGGACGCGACACCATGAAGAACGCAGACTCTGAAGGGGGGCACAGACACGAGCACCCTGGCCACAGAGATACCAGAGGGCATCCTTTTACCTGAGCGCAGGCCTCCGGCCCGCCGGCACAGGTAGACGGGAAGAGACAGGTAGACATCGTAGTCACACTCTCGCTTCCAGCAGGACCAGTAGAGCGGAAGCGGAGCGTTCTCGCCGCCCTGCAGGGCTGAGACTAACAGGGAGGAGACGGAGGCCTTCAGCTGGAGTGTTTAATGAGTGTAGGTGCATGGTGGTACTGTATGTTGATATATAGATAGACTGCGCTATGAAGGAGGGGTGTTGTTGCCCTAAATGCTCATCATTCGGTCATTTATTGAAAAAAAAAAAAAAAAAAAGATCAACCACATTGTGGGAAACACTCCCATTTGTTTTCTTGCCAGGAGTCATAAGAGAGGATTGATGCCAGTCTGTTCAATATGAAACTGCAACCAGGAGAGAGCCAGATAAGCTTAACCTAAAGATTTAAAGCAGGGGGAGACAGTTAGCCTGGCTCTGTCCAAAGTGTGAAACATTTAGAGGGATCTATTCCATTCGCGTGTTCACGCCGGGCACCGTAGTTCTCATTTACACAAGAAGTCTCAGTTGGTTGCAATTTGCAACCTCGCCGCCAGATCCTACACACTGCACCTTTAACGCATACAAAGTGTAAAAACAGCAAGTTGCGGTTGTAGCTTAGCTAAACTAAAGTGACTGTCTCCAGGCTGCAGCTTGATATATACTGTATGTCAAACAGCTCCTTTAAAATGTTTCTGTTTAGTAAGTTTGCCTTCATGGACAGCTTCTGTAAACTGTCAACAACTGCATCAACAGAATTTGTTCTCTAAATTACATTTGTGGTTGGTCTGTGCTTGGTAGCCCAAAGCTTGCGAAGATGAAAATGCTGTTAGTTTCAAAGTCTCAAGTGACGACTAATAGGACATCTAGTAATATTTTTCCCCATTTGACTGGTCACTTCTGATTACATGACCGATACATGTGAGAAAAGGAAAGACAATTCTCACAGCACATCATGACAAAGAAACCTGCACATTTAAAAAGGTACCAAAACCCATCAATCCAAGAAAACAGCTCTGCCCGAGTGTCAATTAAGGGAAGATCCCGGAGGAGACAAACCCCACAGTAAACAAAAACAACCACCATCACGCTGCCTCTGTGCGAGCAGCACCCCGAAGCCACAGGAGTCCCTGTTATCTTCAGAGTGTACAATTCTGGGGAAAAGTTAGCAGCAAAAATAGTCCAGGCATAATAAGGAATTAGCTGGGGAAAAGCTACTCAAGCTGTTTAGATAACATCATTACCAGGATGTATGTGTGTGTGTGTGTGTGTGTGTGTGTGTGTGTGTGTATAGCTAGCTGTGTTGAGGACTTCTCTTTGCCAACAAATGTGCACTGACTCATAAACAAGCATATTGTATTCACCAGTGGGAAACTTATATGCTAAGTGAGCAGACATTTAAGTGTTCATAATGCACACTTGAGACTGTAATGCACGTGATCAAGTTGCCATCACCTTCTAACAACAAAAAACACACACACTTTTAAGCAGAACCTACCCAGCATGGAGGAATTGCCCCTGTTCACAGGCTTGGGTGGGGGCACAGGGGGCTGCTTGGTGCCATGAGAGGTGGAGGTCGGGGCTACACATGATGATGACTGCTGAGTGGACACACCCGCGGTGGAGACGGACCGAACGGGTTTGGGCGCCACAGCCGCAGGGCCGGAGGGAGAGCAGTACTGGTTTGTGTGGTGGTTGGATGGGGTGCGAGGTGGACCCTTGCCGCCAGGTTCTGAGGTGGATGTCATCAGCCACTTTGGAGGCATGATGGTCTGTTTAGGAGGCAGAGGTTCACGCAGGGTGTCCCGCAAGGCTTCTGGGTCAGGGACAAAATGGCTGTCTGACTCTATGAAAACACAATATCATGGGGATACGTTAGATAAAAGATTATTCCACCAAATAACTACTCTATGCCATTGAGATTGAGAAATTTAAACAAAAATGCCAGAAGCATTTTTAAATCTGTGTACACAAACTACTTTACATGGCGGGCATTTAAAAAGTGTATTTTCATCTTTACCATTATTGAATTAGTGACATCTCATTATGAATCCCTCTACATGGCTATACATGCTTCAGTGCAGGGACTGAGCAGTGAGCCATCTTCTGCTGCTACACCACTCAAAATCGCTCTCTGCAAAAGCACTTGTTTGAGAATTGTATTATCTAGGGATCAGCTGTGAAGATAAACAGAGTAGGCGGCTGCAATTACCACCAAAGACCCACCTCCCACTGCCCACCCCACAGCAGCCCCAACGCTGCTGATGCTGCTGCTGCTCCCACGCCATTCCTCAAATCTGCAGCTCTGAAGTCTAGGGTTATTTATTTACAAGTGAGCCTTTATCACTGTGATGTCACACAACCAAAGAGGAAATCATCCAGAGGAAAGAAGGAAGTGAGCAGAGAGAGAGAAAGAGGACAGAAAGCAGGAGATGTGATAAAGATAGAAAAGGAGTGGGAGAAAAAAAAAGCAGCATCAGAGAGAGAAAGGAAAAAAACAAGGCGAGACAGAGAAACATGAAGGAAAGTTGGAGAAAATATCCGCTCAATAGAAAGAGTTCTCGTTTCCTATAGTAGTTCTGCATTGGCGGTTTCAATATGATGCATTATGTTATCTATTTTCTTTTCAATTCTGTCGTTGCAACCCATGCCCCACATGTGGGTCACTTAGGTCCCCTCTCGTCTTACCGACATGCTTTTGTACATAGCTGCCAAAGTGTTCAAAAAATGAAAGTGGTTCACGTGTCACACGAGTGATAACTGGACAACTGAGATCTAAAAACAGCAGAAAACACGATTATTTCTCAAAGTGTAATGTTTCAGTAAAATCAATTAGCTGTGGGTCTTCACCAATTATCACTCAACTGACAGTGTTCGCGTTAAAGGGCAATAACGGGCATAGTGATTAATTAGGAGAAGAGAGGACGAGCTATTCCCTCATGCTCCTGAATAAGAAGCGTAGCTGGAGCAGGGCCTCCGGGAGCCGACAGGAGCCCGTCTATATCTGGGCACATAAGCAGGAGAGTGACAGCAGGAGTCAGTGAAAGCATACATAGAGGGACGAATCACATACTATCTTTAAACATGTATGAAGGAGGTCAGATTGTAAAATATACACCTGTGTCTTTGATTTGACCACAGTGATGACCCCTACAGGGATCTTATGATTACAGCTTTTTTTTTTTTAAATTGGTGGAAGATCTAAAACAAAATGACTGACCTCTGCGGGCCCTTCCCTCCTCAGCGGATGCATGCCGAGGGAGTGTGGGCTTCCAGTCCGCTTCTGCAGGTCGACTCCTCCTGCCATCCTCCGACGGGGCCTTCTGCAGCCCGGGCCTCTTCTGCCCGTCCTCGGGGTGAAGTCGCCCCCCACGTCGGCACTCTTCCGCCTGGCCGTGGCTCTGGCCCTGCCAGACCATATTAGGCTTCCACTCGCCCTCTACGTGTGCGCGTGGCCCCACCCCTGCGCTTCTCCGCACGTCCTCGTACAGTCCCGTGCCCCTGGAGCCCAGAACTCCTCGGCAGTCTCCGTCAGAGGGAGACCAACCCCTGCGGTCGTCCGGCTGGGCGAGCCAGGCCGGGTTCATCCTAAAGTCCGACTCTGAAGGGAGTTTGCCCTGATTGCACGGACTCCTGCCGCCACTGACGACTCCTCCACCTCCTCCACCACCTCCGACCCCAGTGCTCACAGGCAGAGTGTGGCCGTTCTTCACGTAGAGCTGCTTGTTGTGTGTATCTGCATCTGAAACTATAAAAGAATATAAAAGAATATTTTCTCTAGAAAACTACAAGACCAGAAACACTAAATATGTGTTTAACCTAAATGATTCTAAATGTTTCATACTGCCAACGTCTTTTGTTTGATATTGTAGAATATTTTGATATTTTAGTGTTCCCTCCTTCTTAAGGCTAAATGTAAAACAACAGAGGTGATGAAACAATTAGTAAATAGATCCATTAATTGATCAACAGAATGAATCCACAATCGTTTTGTTTTATCCTTTGGATCATTTTCCAGGCAAAAACCTGCTTGTTCTTGCTTCTTTGATGTGAGGATCGGTTGCTCTTCTCTGGTTTACTGAAACTAAAGACCTACAGTATCGTTTTTGATCTGTTGCTCTTACATATCTAGTCATTTAAAGTCGACACCTTGGGCCCTGAGGTAATGTGATGGGCGCTATTTTCCGACATTTTAAATAAGGAAATCAAGATGAATCAATAATGAAAATAATATTGAGTTGCAGCCACTTCCACAGTGAAACACGGAAGGTAGCCTTAACCCAAGCCCTGTAGACAGAGTCTATGTTTGTTGGTGTGATGAAGGAGCAGCTGTAGGTTTAATAAATGGGCTTCTGCAGCAGCAGTGGGGCCAGCATTACGCTTGCACACACCCCTCTCAAAGCTATTTTGCTGCAGGGCACAATTTGTTCCACTTTTCCTCAGCTCTGGAGTGTGGCATGCCATTTTCAACAGATATTACATTACTTTTAAAAACAGCAAGGTGAAAGGTCAATTTGCCTATTTTGGAAATATGTTTCAGACACCTGCTGGTTAGGGTGGACAGTGTTCCTGCCATCACGTACTGATGACTTAACAGTACTGTCCTGTGTGGGTGTTAGCCTCAGGGCTGCTGCTGTCAGTAACAGACACCGTCAGATGTTTCACACAAGCACTCTTACCGTTGTCCGGGACCTCCTTCAGCACCCCCTGTTCTATAAGCTCCTGCCGCGTCCGCCGCGTCGACATCTTTCTTTCCAGTTCTGCCGTCAATAAGCAGAATTCACATTACACAGTTGTCTTTTTTTTCCGAGGAAACGGTGCTTCAGTGAACACATTTAGAATGTGAATTCAAAGATGCAAGTTTAGAGATCCTTCCTCAACAGGATATTCTGTGAGCAGCTTATTGTAGGTGCACTGAAAACATGAGGAGAGCCATAGGGGCCTGTACCATTCAGACAGGAACCCAAGAAAAACCGAATGCAACCGATATGACCAGTGAGGAAGGAGGGGGATGCACTCACTACAAAACACAATGAGTTCACACCACAAACCTTCTGAAGTTTCCTTGAACCTGTCGCTGCTTTTCTTCTTCCGCCACTTCCACGGCTTGAAGATCTTGCCGAGGGTGGAGAACTTGCCCTTGCGCTTTGGGGGAGGGGTGCTGTCCCCCGTGCTGAACCCCTCTCCCACCATAGTGCTGTGGTGCTGCTCAGCTTCATCATCTAAAGATAAAAGAAGCAATTCAATATAAATCCAACAGTTTTAACCTGATTTGCGCAGCTTCAAAATAAGCACGGGAAATAGATGCATCCATCAGCAGTCGCAATATTGTGAAGTCTCGATTCTAACTGAGCTCATCTGCTGTCTTTGTAAAGAGGGCCGTGCTCATCATGGCGGTTATTATCTTTAGCTGCCACTTCTTGGGGACTGAGTGTGCTTTGGCAGGGTGATGCTGAGAGCTCATGGACTCCTCCACATATCCACAGTTAACAGGAGAGATCTGACGCTGGCGTTCAGCCAGGCTTTCTCGCTGTCAAGTGCTCACATTCCTTGGCTGGATGGAGAGTAGTGCCTTATCAGCCTTTCAGCCCTCGCTGCCTCTATAGAGAAGTATACACATGGATGCAGCGATACAGTTAGCAGAATGTGGTCGTGGTCATGAATGCATGCAGGCAACAATCAAAAAGCGAAGCGTTTTCAAAGAACACGGATCGTTATGAGATGCCATTAATGCTTAAAAAGTGCTCCATTAAATGGCATTCTGCAGTCACGGTTAAATATACTGGGCTACGTGATTGACAGGCCAACTGATAGGGTGCTCAGCTCAGAGAGAGTTTCAAACATTAGCTCTTCCAAGGCTGCAGCTGCTGTACTCAGCAGACATAATATTTACCAGTGGAGAGAGAACGGGCTCTGATTTAAAACATCCAGTCTCATGCACACACACACACACACACACACACACACACACACACACACACACAC